CCTCCGCGCCCACCAACCCACCGCCAGGCGCCGGTGCTGTGGAACCGCTCCCCCGAGGCGGCGGCTGCCAGGGTCACAGAGCTGGCCGCCCAGCTGCGTGTGGAGGCCGCCGCCGCAGCCGCACTGCTCACCGCGCAGCCACACCTGGCGACTCTGGGCGTTCCGGGCGTCATAGCGGAGCGCGCAGAGGCGCTTGCAGCTGCGCTCGGCGTCAGCACGGCGCGTGCGGTGGGCATGGTGGGGCGCCAGCCGATGCTGTGGGCGATCCCGCCGCGCGACGTCAAGTGCGACGTGCCTGCGCTGGCTGGGCGGCTGGGCGTATCCGAGGGTGATGCGGCGCGGCTGGCGGAGCGCATGCCGGTGCTGCTGGCCCTGGAGCCGGGGGCGCTGGCGCTCAGCGTGTCGGCGGCGGCGGCGGCGAGCGGCGTGGGCGAGGCGGTGCTGCTAGACCTTGTGGCGCGCCACCCGCCCCTGGTGGCGCTGACTGCTGGCATGCTGGCCGGCGCGCTCGAGGCGCTCGGCGCGGAGCTGGGCGTCGGCCCCGAGGGTGCGGTGCGGCTGGTGGCGCGGCAGCCCACGCTGCTGCTCACGGCGGCAGGCAACGTGGCGGCTGCGGCGGAGCTGCTGGCGGAGGTGCTGGGGTGCAGCCTGGAGGAGGGGCTGCGGCTGCTGTGCGATCAGCCGTGGCTGCTGTACGACCAGACCCACGAGAGCCTGGCGGCGCGGCTGGCGCAGCTGGGGGGGCTGTTTGGTGGGGGCGCGGAGGAGGGGCGCGAGATCGCGCTGCAGCAGCCGGTGGGCCGGGTTGCGTGGGGCCTGCACAGGACGGGGAGGGGTTGTCTTGGTGGGCGCGTTGGCAGGGCGAGACTTTCCTCGTCGATCGCGGGGCTTGATGGGGTCGCGTCCAAGGTGCACACCAACTTGCTGCATGCTTTTCACCGGTGACCCGCCGCCGCTCCTTCAGCTGCCCGTCCTCCTTCCCACCCTGGACCCGTCCACCCTGCACCCCTCGCGGCTGCCACCAGGCGCTGCTGGCGCTGTCCCCAGCGACGCTGGGCGCCGTGCTGGCCGCCTTCGAGTCCCAGCTGGGCCAGGCACCCGCCGACGCTGCGCCGCTGCTGCTGTCGGACCCGGGGGGCTCCGTGGTGGCGGGCTACTTTGGCGGCAGCGCGGTGGGGGCGCGGCTAGCCGAGGCCTGGGCCTCGCAGCTGCGCATGGCCCCCGACGCCGTGGCTGCGCTGGTGGCGGCTCAGCCCGCGCTGGTGGAGGTGCCCCCCAACGTGCTGCGCGCGCGGCTGGAGGGCCTGGGCGCGCTCCTGGGGGCGCCCTCTGTCGCGGTGGCCCAGCTGGTCCTGAAGCACGCGGCGCTGGCGGCAGTCCCGCCCAACGCCACCATCACGCGCGCCAAGAACCTGGCCACAGCGCTTGGCTGCAGTATGGCTCGCGCGGCGGAGCTTGTGGCCAAGGCGCCTGCCGTGCTGGCTGTGCCGCTGGAGGAGCTCAGGGCAGTGCGCATTGAGGCGGCGGCGGCCGCCGCAGCGCTCGGCCGCGCTGGCGGCGCTGGCGGTGGTGGCGATGGCGGGCCTCTCCACGAGCGTCTGCTTGACGTGTGCGCGGCTTACGAGTTCTTCACGGGGCAGTGGCTGGCCGCGCAGGCCAAGCAGGCCTCACCCGCGCGGGACACGTCCTTTTCGATGCTGCACAGGTAATTCACCACCATCTGATGCCCCTGCACACATGTTGTGGGTTTGCGCGTAGGGTGTGTGACCAGTGTAACGCATACAGCACGCACAACCGGGAGGAAGAGGGGGCTGGTTGTGGGGTGCCGCCTTGAGAATCTCGGGAGGAGGCCTTGTCACCGTTGCTTCGGTATGCCCACTGCGTCTCTGCTGATGTCAGGCAAGGAGTGACGCCGCGGAACTGTTGCTTCGAGCCACGTACACGCCATCATATGATTTGCGTTTTGAAAAATGTGGGCTGAGCTACCAAATTCGTGCGGGCCACGCGCCGTTCAGGCGGGTGGCCTGCTGCGCGGCCTCTTGAAGTAGCAGCGGCGTTTCAACAGCCCCGGCGGCCCAGATGGCTCTATTCAGCACGTGAGTGGTATATGCATCTGTAGGAAGGAGCTTGCGGCCGCGCGGGCGCGCGGCGGCCATGGGTGTTGTGTGGTTGCCAGCCGGGCTCTCGCGCCCGATCACCTGTGTGGCGCTGCGTGGACGCGCGATGGTGGATGCTTGGGCACGCGGTGCACAATCTATCGTGCTCGATCCTCCAGCTTGTGCTCACACCCGCCTCGTCCTGCGTCTGCGCTGATTACCTGCACCGATCACCACCCTGCAGGGGCCGCAGCGTACGGGCTTAGCTTATTCCCGGGTCTGCGCGCGCCACCACCCTGCGCACCCCCCACGCGAGCTCGGATGCCGATTCCCGCGACAGCGCCCGCCGCTGGCATTGGGCCCCACCCCTGATTTACGCATCGCCGCCTGTCTCTGGCGCCGAAGTGGCGGCCGGGCAGTTGCGTTGGCCCCCCACCCTACTTGGTGGTGGCCCATGGCCCCTGTCAACCTGTGATTCGACTTCCGCTGTTAAACCTGGTCAGGGAATTCACAAGCACAAGACCCGAGGCGGCGCAAGCAATACGCGGTCGCTGTGAAGCGGCCAGCCGCGCGAATGAAACGGGCAGCCACGGGGCCCACCGTCGGCGGCCGCCAGGGCGGCCTCGGCATCGGCAGGGTCAACGGCTGCAGCAGGCAGCGGTGGGAAGGGGTGCCCTGCCAGGGGGGCGGTGCGCACCGCCGTTGGCAGCCGCTGGGCAGCTGTGACACCGCTGCCCGTGCGTCAGCCGCGGCTGGTTTTATTTCACAACTTCACAAGAGCGTTTCTATCGTCGGCAGCGCGTTGCTGCCGGGCGACGGGAGTCTACGGCCGCGTGAAGGCGTGGTGCAGGGGTGCGGGACGCGCTGCATGTCCGCAACGGGTGTACATTACTATGCCTGAGCGCACACCTTTGTAACGCGCATTCTTTGCGTTTGTGTTTCTCATGTGTTCGCCCAGACGGTGGTTCGCATCTGAACACCATTGAAAGCATGCAGCGCTTGGCGCACGCCGTGCCCTTTCCCGGTGTGCGGCGACCAGTGCGCCAGCAAATGTCTGCATAGCAAGCCCAACAGCAAGCTGAGCAAGTCACAGATGCGCGGCGTCGTCTGTCCTCGCTTGAAAGGCAGGAGGTTTGCAGGCAGGTTTGAACAGCCTTTGAAATTCACTGACAACCAACCAACACGCAAGTTGACTCCTGTCGGGGTACTGAACCTCTCAGGTCTATAAGCAGCGCCGCTCAGGGACGGTGCCGGGGCGCGCCTGAAATGCATACGGTAACTTTTGTTCACTCCTCTATTGCCCTCTCAGATGTGCACAAGAGAATAGGTTACAACCTGACTCTGGCCAGCCCAGGCCGGTGCAGCAATCACAAATACCTAGGTTGGACGCCCAGCCCAGCACCTGACAGAAAAGCAGGAGGAGGCCGCGGGTGACGTCCCTGGCCTGCTACCCAGGCACACACTGCTGGTGGGGTCATGGCTCCCTCCACGGGCCAAATGACGGTGCGGGTGGTGTTGCAGCACACGCCAGACATTGTGTGATGGGCAATCTGGCAATGTTGCGGCCAGAATAATGAACAACGCGGTGTAGTTGCGCAGCTTAGCATCCAGGCACCATGTCATCATGTCAAACGCGTAACCGTCCACTGATGGAGCATGGCCAGACAAATTGAGGCTGGTCATCGCTCGCTTGCCAGCGCATGCGGCGCGTAAGAATGCGGCACGCAAAGAACAGACAAAGGGGCAATGCTGCAGCGGGCGTTGCTCCGCGCCGGTGTTGCAGGGCGCGAGCTTGGCAACCCCTTCAAAGACTTCTCATTCTCCCTGGGCCATCATCAGCCCCAACCACCCCATCCACGAAGGGTCACGGCGGTGAGTTGATGGCACTGAGCCTGTGTTTCGCTCGTCACCCAGCACCCCCGTCACATTGCAGCAACATGGGGAGCAGGCAGGCTGTGTGCTGTCTGAGAGATGTAGTTAGTGTACAAGAGCACAGCCTTCAGAGTGGCTGGCCTGCAGGCAAACAAAGCCGACGCAAGGAAGAAAGCATGGCCCGTGGCAGCAGCAGCGGCGGCGCTACCCTGTCGCAGACCCCGCAAGGTCACATAAATGGAAACGCGGTTCGGCTGGCGCCTACTTGATTTGCTCCAATTCCACGCCAAACATCCGCGCCCGAAACAGCAACAAGCCAGGCCAGTCTGTGCGGGCCCATACGCCTGCTTGCCGCCTCACTGGGCGAAGCGCAGTGTACGCGTCATCGGGAGCAGACAAGGCCCGTGCGCGCCTTGCAGCGAGGTACACGGTCGGCGCCCGCCGGGGGCGGTGGCCGCGAGGGCGCATGAGCTACATAAGGGGGAATGCACAAGATCTTGCGCCTGGGGGCACACCCCAGCATGCTCCCGACTGCAGGCATACCGGAGACAACAACGGAATGATATATATTTGGAGGGCTCGTGTGCCGCATATGCTGCCGCGGCGCCAGTCCTCACGTGTGGGGTGGTACAATGAGCAGTGGAATGCAGCTCTTGCCCCTTTCGTGTCAAGCTGTGCGCGCGCAAGGGGTGGGACAGCAGCGGCCAGCTGGACCGCACACCACCAAGCCGCGTCAAACAATGGTGTCAGGCCAGTCGCAAGCCGCCTCAAAACACAGAGAGCAGCACGAAACACGAGGTGACAGGGTCAACAGGGGTGCTGGGCATCGCGCAAATCCTGGCCTGCCAAGCCCATGAGTGGGCACCATGCCATGGGCTGTTAGGAGTGGGGTCAGCCGGGCCGCAAGACCCTCGCGATCTGAAGGGTGCTGACTGTGAAGCCGGTAGAGCTGCCCTGAAAGAAGGGCGTGGCCCTCTTGCTGTGGCTTCAGCATGAAAACGATCAGGCTCAGTCGGCAACCGGAATGGGTTCCCAGGCGGTCGTGCATTAGGACGGCCCCCCTGGGTCATCTCGCCTGGTGGCCCAGCAAGCTCACATATCGCGCGCAGGGTTCTGGGCTGTGCCGCCTGGCACCCTAGCGATGCCGTGGCGAGAGCCGTACCCAAGGCGCATCCACTCGTCGCGCAGCTTCCTGAAGGCCACCTGGGGCCCGTCAGGGCTGAGGCTGTACTCGTGCTCCAGGGCCTCCGGGTGCAGCTTCTCCACCATCACCTTGTCCTCCCCCAGGATCTTGAACATCTGGTTCCTGGGGAACAAAGGGGAGGAGATGGGGGGGAACCGAGGTATTGAGGAACATGGGGCTAGGGAGCAATTGCAAGGGGTTCACAGATACCGGTTACGAAAGGAATCTAAGATCCTGCCAAATATGTGCATTGAGCAGGAGCAACAGCACCTACACAGACAACCATAAATGTTGCAGTTATCTCAACCACCTCGGGACACAGCAACAGCCCGCTTGCCGTCCCTTCCTTGGAGGAAAACACTACTATCTGCTGACCTGGCGTAGTCATCGAAGCCCTCCCATCCCATGAAGTTGCGGATGAGCGCGAAGCGGTTGATGGACTTGTTCTCGCTGATGGGCACAGTGTTGACGAAAGTGATCATGCTGACGCCGTGGGCCAGGTCGATGGTGACGGCACTGGTGGAGGGCAGCATGGCCTTGGCCGTCACCGGCACGCTGTCGCCAGTGTTGGTCCACTCCCAGAGCTTGTTCATCGGCTTGTTGTGGATCCTGAGGGAAGGAAGGGGGAAGAGTGGGAGAACCGGGTGAATGGGGGAGGAATGGCCGATGAGACATCATCGAGAACAACAGGGAAGCTGCCCGAGCTGATATGGGCGTGCGTGGGGAGCGGGGGAGTGGCGACCGGGCGGCGCTATGGCTTGGGGGCCTGGGGCATTGCTGGCCGTTTGTGACTGGCTGGCCCTGCCCTGCAATCTGGCCTGCACCAACCCCCACCTGAACTGCGATTCGACATTGTACGGCGAGGGCCGTGTGGCAGTCATGCCGTGGATGCGCGGCTGTGACGAGTTGCCAAAGCTGGAGCAATGAGGTAGGCAGGCGGTGAAGGGAAATCAAGAGTGCGTGCAGCAGGGGCGGCATCATGTGGCTGATGGGGTTCATATAACAAACAGGGCACACAGCATGTTAGCGTGTGCGGGTGACATGCAAGTAATCCTTGGCCAATGTCGTGTGCGGTCCGCCCTCACATGACGCAGCCGCCCCACCTGTCGCTGTGCAGGTAGTGGATGTGGGCCATGTCGATGGCGTTCTCAAACACACCCCAGTGGCCGCAGTCGAATTCAATCTCTCCGTACACTGTTTCGGGGGGTTGGGGAGCAGGCGCAGGAGGCAGGCTTGGATTGCACCCAGTGGGGTTGTTGAGGCAGGAAACCACAGCACGGATGTGGCGTCTTTGAATTAGAGGGGGGGGGAGGCACGGGCGCGAATGGCGCGGCAGGGTGCCCCCTCACCCGCGTGCCACTTGGGGTCGTTGAGCTCGGGGACAAAGGAGCCGGGGATCGGGGGCCGCAGGTCTTCTGGCAGGTCGCCGAAGAAAAGCCACACAAAGCCGCCCTGCTCCACCACGGGGTATGAGCTCAGCAGCGGGCGCTTGGGCCAGCGGCCGGGCTCAGCGCTGGGCACATCGCGCAGGCGGCCCTCGGCGTCAAAGGCCCAGCCGTGGTAGGGGCACACCACGCAGGTGTGACCTGAAGGGCGCCCGGGG